CCAAAACCCCAAAACCCCAAAACCCCAAAACCCCAAAACCCCAAAACCCCATAATTCTAAATTAAGAAAGAAATATGATGAAATACAAATGATGGAATTATAACGGAATTAATGGATATATTTTCTATGTTGAGAAATAATCATTAAAGATTTTGAAAATAGAGTTATTAAATAAAGTCAGAAGAACATCAATGCAGAACTAAGGGTTACTAGAGAAAGCCCTATAGTTATCATATATGCTTTGGAAAGTTGAATAAAGGTAGAGTGTTCTGCTCCATCTTGAAATATTTCATTGTTATTGCTGTCTAGGATCCCTATATCCCATCTCAATGTCATTATTTCTAATGTAGAGGTTAAATCTCGTTAGAAATCCACGTATTTATCAGTATTATTCAGCAATCTCTTGAATTAAACGCCAAAATTTCCTATGTATACTTAGTAAGGACCGCCAACTATGTACCCTTTTGTAGTTTCATTGTAAAGAATATCTTATTGAGAATCATTCTAGTATGAACCATTTTTATTTAGTGTCTAATCATAGCAAGTGAAGGAAAGATTACCAGTTCCGTTAACTGGAAAAATGCATCTAATCTAATCTTAAGCAGTAAGATTTACTGCTGGCATTTCTAAGGTTAATGCCACATAATGTCTGCTGGTTGAGTTCACCCAGCGTGTGAGGTTGAGGGCATTCAGGTTGATTTCCATTACCAACTAATCTTAGCCTGACGTGGTCTTATTATCAACATATGCCAAAGATGAAAAGAATGGGATTATTGAGTGAATTCTGAATTGAGCTTGTGCTTGATTTGAATAAAGCACCAAAATTAGAACCAAAAATAGTATCTTATTTGCTTTGAAAGGGTTTGATAGACTTGACTTAGAGGAGAACATTGAAATTGATATTTTCTAGAATTTGAATTGCAAATGAGCCCCTCTATAGGAAGATTTAAAATTATTGTTTATTAATAAAATGCTTGATATGTTTTATAAGCCAGTTTAAATACGCTTTAAAACTAATTTTCAAATTTAAGATACTGAGATATTTGCTTTTTTATTCTGATTTAAGTTAATCACCGATTTTACTCTATTTTAACTTTAAGGGGTTTTGGGGTTTTGGGGTTTTGGGG